AAAAAAGTCGATATTAAGAAAAAAATTGTAAATGGAAGATTATAAGAGAGGGTTTCGCGTGCCAGCAAAAGTTACTGGCGTGCCATGTTTGGCACGCGTGCCAGGGGTTGCCCATCCCTGTCATAGGCCATCTAAGGAGGCAGATATATAAACAAATGTGTATGATTTAATGTAATATGTAATTTTATTTTACTTTTTAATTTATCTTTATTGTTGAAAGTATTACAGATGTCCTCCTTTTGTTCCCCATTAACCTCCTCCACCCTGTACCGCCACCCTCCCCCCACCTCCAGGCCTTCACCACACTATTGTCTGTGTCCATGGATTATGTATATATGCATATAAGTACTTTGGTAATATGTATTTTTAAAGCTACAAAATGCTAGTGGTAATACGATAAATATGAGAAAATATAGACTATAGTGTTTGAATATAAATTAACGTACAACTATGATTTCAGTTTCATTTAGAATATTCAATTCTAGAATTGAATTAGAATGTTGTTGTGGTTATTGTACATCATCCTCTTCTACTAGTGTATAAGTGCCTTGAAGACCTGTCCTGTGTATTATTTTTTTTCTATTTCCTAGCACTACTAAACATACATAGAATACACTCAATAAATGCTTGTTAAATTGAATTAATTTCTAGGAGCTGCTCTTTTTAAAAAATTCAATCTCACAGTCTATAATGTAATATACTACATCTGCATATCCAGACTGCTGGTTTTTGTCCTAATTTAAGATGCAATTGTAGAGAAATTGATAAACGTAACATTTTAAATCTAAATTATTTTACTCTTTCTCACTTTGGAAACTGTAGGCTTATTCTATGGGTACTGCCTTCACACAACATATTTATAGAATTGGCCTTTTGTTCCTGACACACTGTTTTAAATACACACACTTGTTTTATCCGAATTCAGAAACCTACTAAATGTCATCTCAAGCGAAGTTTAGTGGGTCAAAAGTTATGCAGACCTTTTGAGGTCAAAAACAACAAGGGATCTTGTGAGGTGCAAAAGCTCATGGTAACAGCAATTACAAAAGAGAAATTCCAAATATATAGTGAACTATTTTAGCATTTCTGGGCTTGCTTTATGGCCTCCCAGGATAACCATTTTGAAGGGCAAACCTTAAGTACAGTACATTCATTAAAATACCCGACTCCTCATAGTCGCAGTTTGTAACCCTGGTTTATTAAAAAGAGTTGGTTTCATTGGACTGAAATTTAAGCATTTTATGTTGTTTCCTGACAAATAATCAGTCTAATACTATCCTGAATTGGTATTAAACTTTTACTAGTGACCTCTATATGATAACTTGTTTTTAATTAGAAAATATAATTATTATTTCCTCATTCTTTCTTTAAAAGATGTAATTAGAGCTCACTTGATTTTTTTTTTCATTTTTATTGGATATTTTTCAGCCTGAAAAAATGTGTGCATTCATGCTCATGATTCTTTCATTATTATATCCATTGTTGTTATCAGGTAAGACCAAAAATCACCCTCATTACCTGATTATCTGATCTTTTACCTAAAGGAGCCTAATCTAGAGCTAAGACCAAGGACATGTCAGATGGAGCAAATACTATAAAGCAGCATTTCAACTGTACTTACTCAGTTTCTGAGAAATGAAACAGGAGACGAGCTAAAGTTTACTTTTGCTTTAGCTAGAAAGAAAAAGGATTGCCAGTTAAATTAATGCTATTGACATGAAGAGATAGATCTATTTAAGAAAACAAATGCCTTGCCCTGGGTGGGTGGCTCAGTTGGTTGGCACATCGTCCTGTACACCTAGCATGTCAAACTCGCGGCCCATGGGCTGCATGCGGCCCACAATGAATATTTTTGCAGCCCAGCCAATATAACAGTATGTGAGAAACGTTTTAATAAAAATTTCGTAACCTAATTTTTACAATATCCTGTTATACATAATTATTAATAACGAACTACAGCATTTGCTAATGACTGATTACTATAATCGTGTTGCATTCATTTCCCTTGTGCCTACGTGCAGGCGCACCATTTCTGTCCACTAATACTAGCAGCGAGTATTTTAGCAGCCGATTGCCACACCATTAGTCTTGTACTGACTTGTTTGGTGTGTGCAGTAGGAAATATTTCTCTTTCAGAAAACAAGAAAAATATGTTTGTTTGCGTTGCGTTTATTAATTTGTGCAGTTACTCAGTGTCTGGTAAGTGAATGTTCAAGAAAAAATATTAATTTTTTAAAAATGTTCTGTTATTTTATGTTAATGATTACTCATTTATTTCAGCCCTCAAATACTCATTAGTATTCAGCATGTGTCTATCAAAATAAACCTATGTTTCTATGAAAATTGAAGCTTTTGTTTTTTGCGGCCCACATAAACTTAAGCCTTGTTTATTTGGCCCCTGTTAGCCTTTGAGTTTGACATGCCTGCTGTACAAGAAAGGTTGTGGTTCCATTCTCAGTCAGGGCATGTAATGGAGGCCACCCATAGGTCTCTCTCTCCCTCTCCCCCACCTCTTCCTGTCTCCCTCTCTCTCTCCTGTCCCCTTCCTCTCTCTCTAAAAATCAGTAAAAAACATATCCTCAGGTGAGGAATAAAAAAAAAGAAATGCCTTTTTAAAACCTTTGAGTTCATTTGGAAGGAATATTCATATACTTTCAATTTTTATTCTGACTTCAATGTATTTTATTTTACAAGTTTATAAAACCAGCTTTTATAGGGACTAGGTACCATTTTTCTATTTCTCTTTAATTGGTGTTTTATTTATAAATAATAAAACAATTGAACTACTCCAGATTTTACTAATTAAGTCTGATAAAATTCACTTGTAAGTAATTAGTACAGAGTACATATTTTCAAAAGGATTCAAGCAGGTTTATGAAGCACAGATTTCAAAGGGTAAAATAGAGATTCAGGGGTACTAGCCTAAACTTGTAAGTTTGATGGATAAGGAAGCCATCTGAGCTACTGTCACATGCATGACCTGAAACAAATAACCATTGTACCTTCTTATATTTTTATACAAAATTAGAGGCCCAGTGCATGAATTCGTGCACCAGTGGGGTCCCTCGGCCTGGCCTGTGGGATCGGGCTGAAACCAATCTCCGATATCCCCCGAGGGGTTCTGGGTTGCGAAAGGGTGCAGGCCAGGCCAAGGGACCCCACCAGTGCACGGTCGGGGCTGGGGAGGAATGTGGGTAGTTGGCCAGCTGGGGAGGGACCAGAGGAGGGCTTTAGGGAATGTCAGGCCTGTCTTGCTCAGTCCTGATCAGCCGGACCCCAGCAGCAAGCTAACCTACTGGTCGGAGCATCTGCCCCCTGGTGGTCAGTGCATGTCATAGCAAGTGGTTGAGCAGTCTTAGGATATCATTAGCATATTACGCTTTGATTGGTTGAATGGATGACTGGAAGACCAGACACTTGGCATATTAGGCTTTTATTATATAGGATAGATATTCACAAGTAATATCTATCATGTCCAGACTTTCAGGAGGGTACCTTGATATTTTGTGAAAATAAGTAATTACTGTTTCAAGGCATAGTTTGCTTTCTGAAGAACTTTGACTTATGTTATTAAATATGGTAATAACAGCATGTGCATACTGCATTATGTTTACCAAATATTTTTATATTTGTTATCTCAGTTGGTCCACCCTGGAAATAGTAGATATCTATAATAATAAAAGCGTAATATGCTAATTAGACCGGACAGCCAAATGACCTTCCAGATGTCATTCCGGCTGAAGCTGCAGCAGCGGGGGCCAAGGCAGAGGAGGTTAGGGGCGATCAGGCAGGCAGGCAGGCAAGTGGTTAGAGGCAATCAGGCAGACAGGTGAGCAGTTAGCGGCAATCAGGCAGGCAGGAAGAGTGGTTAGGGGTGATCGGGCAGGCAGGTGAGTGGTTAGGGGAGACCAGTCAGGCAGGTGAGTGGTTAGGGGTGATCAGGCAGGCAGGCAGAGTGGTTAGAGGTGATCAGGCAGGCAGGCAGAGGAGTCCCAGATTGTGAGAGGGTGCAGGCTGGGCTGAGGGGACCTCCCCCATGCACGAATTTCATGCACCGGGCCTCTAGTCCTATATAATAAAAGCCTAATATGCTAAGTGTCCGACCATTTGACCAGTCACTATGATACGCACTGACCACCAGAGGGCAGACACTCCCACCAGTAGGTTAGCTTGCTGCTGGGGTCCGGCCAATCAGGACTGGGAGAGACGGGCTGGACACACCCTGGAGCCATCCCACAGTCTCTCCCCAGCCCCAATCGTGCACCAGTCGGGTCCCTCGCCCTGGCCTGTGCCCTCTCACAATCCTCGACCCCTCGGGGGATATCAGAGAACCGGTTTCAGCCCAATTCCCGCAGGCCAGCCCGAGGGACCCCACCGGTGCATGGCCTCTAGTATAACTTATAATGTAGATAGGAGTTAAGACTTACTTTGTTACAATGAAGAGCATTCTTCCTGACTCCCCTCTCTTTTTCTCTTCTCCTACTACACACACACACACACACACACACACACACACACACACACTCCAGAGGCTTGGGCTAAAAAGGGACATTTGGGTTCATAGGATGGGATGGTTTTTAAATTGGCCAATTCCAGGCTCCCAACTCTTTCCCTCTGGATCGGCTCCATAGTCTCTTTCACTCTTTGGTGATCCTGACGTTTTTGAGTATCACTGTCACTGATTTGGTTAATGCCATCTTTGGACACATCACTGTGGACAGAGGAATAGCTAGACACTTTGACTGCCTTGGCAATTAGACTCACTTCTAGAGCTGGGAAGTAGGTGAGTTGTCCAAAGGAAAGTCAGCATGCAGTTACCAAAAGTAGCAGTAAAGCATGGTGGGTGGCAAACTTCAAATGTCCACTCTAGCAGATATTATCATCTCCACCTTTCAGATGAGAACATGGATATTCAGAGGGGCTAAATGACCTACCCAAAGTAGGTCTTCTGGTTACAAATCCTGCTCCAGGCTGCCCTAAAGGAAAAGGGAAGCAGCAATGGATAAGAAAAGAGAAATGGTTCTAGGTATGACACTTATTTCTATTCTATTTTTTGAAGTAAACCAGGCATGATTGATTTTAGGGTGATAATTGAGTCTGAATCTGTGGGGAGGGTGAACAAGAAATTTGTGGGAAATAAAATGTCCCAAGGTCTGTGTAAAATAAAATGTCCCAATGTCCCAATGTTAGCAATTTAAATAGCTAACATTTATTAGCCATTCCTTATATCAGGCACTGTGCTAAGCATTGTTCCTATATCCATTAATACAGCATTCCTATGAATTAAGGATTTTTGCAAAGAATGAAACTTAAAAAAATGGTTTAATATCTTATCCATGTGGTTTAATATCTGTTTCATGTGGGACAGAGGTTCCAGCTGAATCAGAAACAAGTACACAGGAAACCAAGCAAATGAAAAGATGATCTAATTGGAAAGAGGCAGAGCTAAGATTTAAACCCAGGGAGTCCAGGACCCACTGCAGTGCCTGTTTTTTATTTTCATTGTCACCAATTAGCAGCAATATTTAGGGACCTGCCATGTGCTGTCTGTCATAGCAGATACTGGGTGCAACAGCTGTTTCCTAGAAATTTACCCTATAAGGTTGTATAATTCAATTCATGCAACCACATTTAAGAATTTATAAACGCCTACTATGTTTCCACAGATCATGGTTAATGTTAACTTTTATGCTGTTTTTGTTTTGTTTTATATTTATCAGAGTTACACATGCACATAGTTTAAAAAATCAATTAGTCCTACAAAACTTATTTTAAAAAAAAAACAGAAACAGGTCCTTGCTGTGTACTTCCTTTTACTATTTTTCAAATTTTCAGAAGCAATCACTTTTTTTCTTTTTACTTTTTTTTTCTGTTTCCTCTGGTATTTATGAAAAATAATATCTCTAAATAACATGATTGTATTTCTACTTCTTGATTTTTTCAGCTTCAGATAATCCATTACTGTGCCACTATGGGAGATGTAGATTTAGATCTTTATGCGCCCTACACCATCACCACAAATACGCCATCTTTTCAGTCTGATGACTTAATAACCATACCATGTATCTAATTCTCTGCTTTCCCTAACAATAATAATTGTCATATTTTTCATTTGCTTGGCTTCCTGTGTACTTGTTTCTGACTCAGCTGTAACCTCTGTCCCACATGAAACAGATTTCTTTATACTATCACCTTGGGGTTTCTTTTTGTCCCTGCTTTGAATTGGATCTTCTGTTTTTAATGTCTTTCCTTCTTCATTTACTCTCTCATTTTGATGGAGCACTTCTAACAATAGCTTTGATCTTCGCTCTGTAAAATGCCTTTATGCTTTAGACATTTGATTGATTTTGTGGCTGAGAACAGACTTTGTGGTTTGGAATTTATTTTCTCTCAAAATTTTTATGTTCACTCTCCTTTGTCTTTTGGTGTTTAAAAGTTGAAAAACAATCTAATTTTTGTTCTACATTTTTTCCCACTATTTTCTATTTTTTTCAAGAGTTTTAAAACTTTATTATGATGTGCCTTGTTGGGGTTCTATTTGACTAGACACTCAGTGAGCCCTTTTAATCTGCAAATTAATGTTGTTTAATTCAGGCAAATTTTCATGAATTGCTTCTTTGATTATTTCTTTCTCTCCATGTTCTCTTTTCTTTCTGTTATCTGGATGCTGAACCTCTAGATTGGTCTAATTTTCTTATCCTTTTTCTCCTATGTTCCTTTAAAAAAGAGACTTTTCTTAGTCTCTTCTTTCTGGGATATCATCCAACCTTTAGGTTTCCATTTCTAATATAATTTTGTTTCTCAGAAACAGTTTCTTTGTTCCTTTTTTTTTTTTTTTAAATCAACTTGTTTTTGTTTCATGGATGTAGTCCTCTCATATCTTTGAGGATACTTTTTCTGGAAACTTTACTAGTATTTCCCCAAATAGTTCTATTTCCTGTTTGTTTGCTTTAAGGCTTCATCTTTCATGTGAGGGGCTTTCCTCGGATGTCTGGTGGTCTTTGACTGTCAGCTCACATTTAAGGTAGTAAGAAAGGTAAATGCGTAGATAACACATAATTGGGGCTTAATAACTGTGAATTCCCTAAATCCAACTATGCTATTTATTCAGAACCCCAATATTATTTTAGTGAATATCTTCCTTTTCAGTTCAATTAGATTCACCAAAGAAGTTTTTACTCTCCTGCCTAGAAGTTATAAAATGGGCTAGTAGCATTCTGCAAACCAAATAGAAGAGAAGTGGGAGTCTCAATATTCAGCATGTAAAATGTCACTCAGTTCTGTTTTCAGTTGAGCACTCTGTCCTTCAGAATTCCTCCAAATTTCCCAGTTCAGGAACTTTGCTAGGATGAAAGAGGGAGAAGTTCTTGTCCACTTGTGAAGAGTAGAAAGGGAATGTAAAAGACAAATTCTTAAATAGAACTCCAAAGAGGTTTGCTCTGATTCCCACCTTTAACTAACTTTCATAAATCTGGGTCCCCCTAATTCCTAAGTTTTTTTGGAAACTAGTACAAATTAAATTGCTTCTTGGCTTTGCCTACTGCTGCTTTAGGATTCAACTTGCTTGGCATTCAACTATAGTCAGTTAGCTATAGTTTTCTGCCCTCTAGCTCCCAAATTTTGGTTACTGTCATTCATCTCTATTCTGCTTTTCTTTCTTGGCTTATTCTTTTTAATAAAATATTTAATATTCTGTTGTATTTTAGTGTGGTTTTGAAAGGGAATGAAGTTAAATGTGTATGTTCAATCTGCCACCTTTAACCAGAGTCAAAGGTGTTGATTTTATTGTCTACTATATATATATAGTTTCTTCTTTTTTATTTTATTTTTATTGAATTTATAGTTTCATTTTTTAAGCATTTGTTAGATTTGAGATAAAGATTTTTCTTAAAAATAAGTTTTTCTCTGGAGAAAATGGGAAATTACCATATTCAGTTCTATACTCTGTCTCAGAGTAAGATTTGAGGAGATTGCTGTTCACATATTATATATTTTGCATTTAAGTGGTTTTATTACCATACAGACCTGCTTCCTTCACAGCATGTGGTGATATGTATTCCTGGGTTGGCCTGAAAACAATAACTGAGAGCCATATATTACATAGCTCAAGCTATTATAATTATGACATATAATAAGATGATCAAATTTTCCAAATCAAACACTGGACAACTTAGTTGAAACATTAAGGAAAGTAAGTAGATCCACGAACGTTGGGCCAATGTACTATGTAAGTTTCATTATCTTACTTAACGCATGTTTGAGATGATTTTTTTATTATCGCACTGTGTTTTATGAATAAAGATCATAAAGAGACTCAGAGAAGTCAAGGTACTTCCCCAAACTCATACAGCTAGTGGGTGACAAAGGTAGAATTTGAACCCAGAATTCACTTCACCGCTAATACTCTTTGGAGTGAGTGTGCATAAGAAAATCAGGACACATGAGACTGCATTAAAGATCCCCAGAACTTGGTGAAAAGTCAAAGAAAGAACACTATCAGCAATAGTAATCAGAAAATTACATCACTATTGTTTGCACCTTTTTACACAACCATTTCATTGTATACTAACAGCCCTATGAGCTGGCAATATAAATTTAAGTTTTATAGTTGTTTCTCTCAAATATATAAAACATTGTTTGCCTGTAGCTATAATTTACTTACCTCACAAACACCTTTTCCTGGTCATCATTGTCTGTCTCCTCTCACTTCCCCTCTTCCACATCCCCAACGCCTCCATCCCAGCCCCTGCAATACACACCCTGTCACCACCATTTCCACAGATAAAGTAAAACTTAATCTTACCAATTGGTAGTTGCTTGGTCATTTCTGAAATAAAATTGAGTCAATTTAGGCTTTAAATTAATTTTCTTCCCTACCCCTTACTTTCTCCTTTCCTTCCACTCTTCTTCAAGTTTCTGGGAGACTCATATCATTCTGGCGTCAGTGGGTAAGTATGGGATTCCACACTCTTCCCTCTGCTTGCTGGTCTCTGCTGAGTTACTGGTTGGCCCTTGCATATTGGCACCATATGCCAGCACCTACTGAGATGTGGTTCTTCTTGCTGAGCCTCATACTGAACATACTGCCATGGTCTCCAGTTGTAAGGACCTTGCACTCTTCGCTGCGTTTTCTTAAACCTCAATCTCCTTTTTGTCTGCCGGATCAGTCTTCAAACTTTTGCAATCCACTCATAGGCTTCAGGAACTTTTCAGGTGCTCTGCCACAATACACACAATACACTGGTGTTGTAAAATGCAAAGATGTCTTCAGACAACCCTCCCAGCTACCTTCCTAAGACATTACCTGTGCGCTCTATACTCAGACACCTAGATGCTCTTTCCTGGCTGGGGGGCAGAATCTATTTCCTCTGCATAGGAAAACATCTATTTTATCCTCTTACATTCTTGCCTATTTATAGATTTTATGCCATAAACTTTATAATAAGAATATATAAGGCAGCTCTATATATCCTGAAATGATCAATTGACAAAACATCATGTGAAGAGAGCAAAGTAAAAACAATGTGTATAACTTGCTCCATGTCTGTAAAAACTTGTTTAGATAAGGCAATGCATTAAACATTTCTGGAAGAAGACACGAATCTGGATCAGGTTGCCTTCGGGGAGGGAAAGCAGATGTCTGGGGAACAAGACTGGAAAAGAAATTTTTCACTGCTTTTTTATATCTTTCAAATTCTGTATTATGCAAATAATTTATTCAAAAAATAAATAAAAGATCATTGTAAAACATTTATAATCTGGCTTCTTTAATCTTGCCAGGCTCCAAATCATCTGATTCTCAGCCACAGACAGAAAGAAGCTCTTTTGGCAAAGCTGTCTTTTCTCCCTCCTCTGCTTCCTGATGTGCCTCTCTGTCTTGTAGAACGAAGGCTGCATGAAGCAGCAGCCTACTTCAGCCTTCTGACTGTTTGCCTTACAGTAGAAGGGAAAATACTTTAGTAGGAAGATGGCCTGAGTCCCAAATATAACAGATGATAGTTTAGCTATTTTGCTAACTTGCCAGACTGAGATAGAGGGTCCTCATTACCCTTCACTTAACCCCTTTGTCCAACCCAAGTCTATATTTTAGGGTCTGTTCCTTGCAAGAATTTTTGTTATGTGTAGGCTTACCACACTGAATAGGTATTTAATAAATTATGATGACTATAAATGCATGAATCAATTTTGTAAGAATACGCCACCTAGGTTCATTCTAAATATATTAACTGAGAGAGATTTTTAAAGGTTGTATTTTAAATTTTCTGAGTGTCCGTTAATTATAGCTCTCTTTTTTCCCTGATCCAAAAGCCAATTAAGGATCATATATTGTATTCAGTTGTCCTATCCATTTAATTTTCTTTCATCTAAAAAAACTTCGCAGCCTTTTTGTGTCATGACATTGACTTTTTTTTTTAAGTCTGGGTCAATTGTTTATAAGATGTTCCTTGATTTAGATTTTTCTGAATTTTTAAATTATTAGATTTAGATTAAATATTCTTGGCAAGAATACTCCATTGGTAATGCTGTGCCTCCTCCAGATAATAGAAAGAAGAAATTGGTAACACAGTAGATGAGCACTCTACTATGACTTGATGGAGGGTCCAGAATGAGTTTTCAATTCTCTTTGCTTTAATTTTATACTGATAGGTCATTTTTAAGTGATTTGGTAGTTAAATAGACCAGGTATCCGTAAATAGTATTTTATTCAATCCATTGGATATCACTTGGAACAGCAAAAGTGTTCTCCTGTTAAATTGATCAGTTTTTTGTGAGTTTGTAACAGTTTGGGGAACCGACAGAAGTTTCTGATTTGCGAAGTGAGGGCCAAGTGATAATAATATCCACCTCACAGCATTGAGTTGAGAATTACTTGAGATGTGAACTCAAGTAATGACATGAAATATCACTTACAGTAATATACCCTGTGAAGGGTCTCTATTAATGTCACCAACCCTACCCAGGTATTTATTTTTTAAACCACATATATATCATATACTATTGTATATGGCAGTGTTCTAAATATTTTATGAATATTAATCTTTGTAGCAAAAATTGGATACTATTATTATCATCCCCATTTGTAGATGAGGAAACTGAAGTACAGAGAAGATACATATTTTTTCCAAGGTTACATAACAATGTTTACCTGTGAGACCCCATTTAAAAGCAGGCAGCCTGTACAGCTCCAATGTGTGCTTGAAGATAGACTGCATTCCACCTCTCCTTTAAATTAATGCATGTGTCTGTGTCACTTCTGTTTCAGAGAGAAGAGGTACTCCCATGTAGGGATTCATAAAGGCATAGAGCACCTAGAGATTTGCTGCCTCCATTACGCTGCTGGGTCTCACAGCACTTGTTATGTTTTTAAGTTTCTCTCCAGAAGGTAGGAATTGTGTGTTTTTCTCTCCATGAATTATTTATATAATTATAGTTTTCTTGTCTGTGAATTTAATTTTTTTTAAATATTAAAAGCATCTTCTGACATCCAGAGATTAAAATGCCAAAGAGTTAAGGCACATAATCACATTGCCTCTATAAAAACATTTTCTATTCTAAAATTAATACATGTTCATTGTAAAATATATATATATATATATATATATACATATAAAATAGTACAGAAATGTATAGTAATCCTACCACCTTGAAATAACCATTTTTTTTATTTTGTTGTAATTCTTGCTGAATTTGATGCATATATAATACATATCTATATAATTATTAAGATTATGACTGGCAACAATAGGATATAAATGAAACACTCTTTGGCTACAGTGCTTCTTTCACTTAGCAAGTTGTGGCATTTTTCATGCCAGTAAATATCATCCACATTAGCATTGTCAAAGGTCATATAATAATCTAATTTAAAGGTATAACATAAATTGTATAACCATTTTCCAATTATTGAGTATTTGAGATGTTTCCAATATCTCCCTGTGGTTAACATGACTTCGATGAATGTACTTGTGCATACATCTTTGTATTCATGTCTAATGATATTTAGGACAATTTCCAAAAGTAAGTATTGTAGAACCTTAGTTCCTAAGCATGCTCTCTGATGAAAGGGTTCCAGGACCTATAATATAAGAAAACACTGACTATTACCCACCATCTTGAAGAATTCCAATATTTAGTAGTATACTAAGGTCTTAGAAATCAAACTTATTTGATTATAGAATCCTTTCTTAAAATAAAACCTGGCTATGGGCTGTTGAGAGTTGGAGAAGTTGTGCATGTGTGGGAAGGGGGCATATGGGAAATCTTTCTAGTTTCCACTCAATTTTGCTGAGTCCAAAACTTCTCTAAAAAATAAAGTCTATGTTATAAAAAGCAAAAGGAAATGTTAAAGGGGAATATATTTAAGTGCCATTGTATACATTTACATTTCAAATTAAATTTAGACTTGCACACATACACATAATACACACCTGATAACATCCCACTTAACACTTTGGAAAATACTAGCTTATGGTATATTCTTAAAAAGGGAATTGGTGGATCAAAGAGTAAATATACTGAAAGTCTACAAATTGCATTTTTACCAGCAGTATGGAGGAGTGCCACTTTCACTGTAGTTTTGTCATTTGATAGTAACTGTTTTTGTTTTACATAAATCTGATATGAGAAAAGTATATGGTATTTTAATTTTCATTTACTTGATTGCTAGTGAGATAAATGTGTTTTTATACTTTCATTTGCCCATCATTTTTCTTTTATGACCATCTCATTTATGCCCCATTTCAAATTTTTCTTAGGCTTTTTAATGGATTTTTTTGATTGCAAAGAATCAAGAATCATATTAAGAATATTAACACTGTAAATCACATGGTACAATTATGTTTTCCCTCATTTTCCTCTTTTTATGTTTTGTTTTATTTTATGTATTTTAATTTTGCCATGTAAGGTTGGCATCTTATGAGGTTCAATCATTCTGTCATCTTCATGGATTCTGAATTTGGTGTCTGTATGTTCATTGGCTTTTTCTAAAAAACTTTATTATGGATAGTTTCAAACATAGAAGATTTGGGAGAATCTATTCTATAGATATAAAAGCCTAAGTGACCAGCCAATTGGCTGACCAGCCAGTAGCTATAATACATAATGACCACCAGGGGACAGATGCTCAACGCACAGGCATGGAAACATGGAACACACTGATGAATCTCAGAGGGGAGGGGGAAGGAGAGAGGGTGGGAAGAGATTAACCAAAGATCTTATATGCATACTAGAGGGGTCCTTCGGCCTGGCCTGCGGAGATCGGGATGGAACCGGTTCTCCAACATCTCCCGAAGGGTCCCAGATTGCGGGAGGGCACAGACCAGGTCATGGGACCTCACCAGTGCACAAATCCATGCACCGGGCCTCTAGTAGTATAATAAACCCCCATGTATTTCAATCTGGCCTCAATGATTAACAACTCATGGCTAATCTTTTTCTTTTAAAACTCTTGTAGTATGTTGAAGCAAATGCAGACATTAAGTTATTTCACCTATTAATATTTCAGTATGAGAGTAACTCTAAAGGTAGTTTTACCTAACCTGTATTTTACATCTGCCATAGTTTTTCTTGCTGAAATCATTGACTTCCACTACAACATACTTAATGTTATACCAAACATCAACATTAGCTAAGATTAGTGTTTTGTAATTTATAATTTTAAAATAGCCTCCATAAGAATTTAATATACTGACTACTTGTGACCAAAAAAAAAATATGTGTTACTCATTTTTCATGCTTTAAATATACATGTATCTATGACCCATACTTTTTTTGTTGCTAAAGTTAAATCAATCAATAAAAAGCCTCAGTTTCCATTTTTACTGAAGATAAGCCTTATTATAACTCTTTTTACACCACAATATAGATATTATTTTTCTGTCCTCAGAAGGTACTGTCCTAAATTGCTACTTGTTTTCCTACATTAATGGGGAATTTTTCAAGACTTTTGAATAAAACTTGACATATGCCTCTCCAGAAACGTAGCAGATGAATCTCAGAGGGGAGGGGGAAGGAGAGAGGGTGGGAAGAGATTAACCAAAGATCTTATATGCATACTAGAGGGGTCCTTCGGCCTGGCCTGCGGAGATCGGGATGGAACCGGTTCTCCAACATCTCCCGAAGGGTCCCAGATTGCGGGAGGGCACAGACCAGGTCATGGGACCTCACCAGTGCACAAATCCATGCACCGGGCCTCTAGTAGTATAATAAACCCCCATGTATTTCAATCTGGCCTCAATGATTAACAACTCATGGCTAATCTTTTTCTTTTAAAACTCTTGTAGTATGTTGAAGCAAATGCAGACATTAAGTTATTTCACCTATTAATATTTCAGTATGAGAGTAACTCTAAAGGTAGTTTTACCTAACCTGTATTTTACATCTGCCATAGTTTTTCTTGCTGAAATCATTGACTTCCACTACAACATACTTAATGTTATACCAAACATCAACATTAGCTAAGATTAGTGTTTTGTAATTTATAATTTTAAAATAGCCTCCATAAGAATTTAATATACTGACTACTTGTGACCAAAAAAAAAATATGTGTTACTCATTTTTCATGCTTTAAATATACATGTATCTATGACCCATACTTTTTTTGTTGCTAAAGTTAAATCAATCAATAAAAAGCCTCAGTTTCCATTTTTACTGAAGATAAGCCTTATTATAACTCTTTTTACACCACAATATAGATATTATTTTTCTGTCCTCAGAAGGTACTGTCCTAAATTGCTACTTGTTTTCCTACATTAATGGGGAATTTTTCAAGACTTTTGAATAAAACTTGACATATGCCTCTCCAGAAACGTAGCAGATTTTTTTTTGAATCCTTGGCTTAGATGGAATACAAAATTTTATATGTTTTTTTTCTTTTATTGTCTAAAGTTTTACATATGTCTTCTTTTTCCCCAATTGACCCTGCCCCAGCCCTTCCCACCCCAGGCAAGCCCCAGTGTCTGTGTCCATTGGTTATGCTAATATGCATGCATACAAGTCCTTTGGTTGCTCTCTAACCCCACCTCCTTCCCTACCATTTGTCTCTAGATCAATCTATTCTTGTTCATCAAATTATGTTGACCATTATATCCCACATATTGAGTGAGATCATGTGATATTTATCTTTCTCTGACTGGCTTATTTCGCTTAGCATAATGTTCTCCAGTTCCATCCATGTTGTTGCAGATGTTAAAAGTTCCTTCTTTTTTTATAGCAGCATATTTACATGTTTTATGTGATTAATATCTGATTACTTTTTAAGATATCAGTTAAAAAAAAACGAGTACCTTTTTTTTCTTTTCTTTTTTTAGAGAGAGAGGGAAGGAGAGGGATAGAGAAATAGACTCATCAATGTTGAGAGAGAATCATAGATCAGCTGCCTCCCACATGCCCACACTGGGGATTGAGCCCATAACCTAGGCATGTTCCCTGCCCGGGAATCGAACCATGACCTCCTGGTTCATAGGTCAATGCTCAGCCATTGAGCCACATCAGACGGGCAAGAAAGCAATACTTTCTTAGGGTCTTCTATGGCGTTTGATAGTGAATATAATAGTTCATTGAAAATTAGGAAGATACCCCATGATTACTACTGCCAGAAAGAGTACAGAACATAATCAGATATGGTTCTTATATAAAGAAAGATACAAAAGCAAAGTTAGTCTCAACTAGAAATAGAATTACCAATGTATATGAAAAGCAGAGGAGGAAAATAAGTATGAGCCTTAGTCACAGCTAAGTAAAATCATGTAAGATTTAATAGTTAATAGAGATCTTTGTGTTAGTATTGTCAGATCATATTATTTTATGAATGAGAAAACAAAAGAACAGAGAGTTTAACTCACGTTTGTCCGAAGTCATGCAAATGGTTTTTATTTATAGTTTTCTCAGAAGACATTTAAAAGGTTCTAAAAAGTTATCATTATTAACAACAATAAGTAACAATTATTGAGTGCCTACTCTAAACCAGAGAATCTACTAAATATTTTCTATCATTTGTCTCATTTAATCCTCACATATACTTTGTGGTAAGAACTATTATTATCCCTTTTATAGAGGTAAGGCAACTGACACTAATCCAGGGAGTCTGAGACATATAGCCCTCCCTCAGTAAGACATTGTATTTCACTATCAGAATTATGGGAAGAACAGAGAACGGATTGCAATGTTCAATCCTAGAAATAAGACAAGAGTGGGAACTTTAGGCAGAATAGATGGCAAGAAATAATATTTTGATATCCTAAGTAAAAAAAAAAAAGTGAAAGGTCTAGTTAAAGAAATTGTGGTGTGATTTAACTCTGTCTTATTCTCTGATTTTCAGGAACCATTGCATCCCTCAATTCATTTCTGCATTTAAAAAAATTATTTTGGATTTTTGAATAAACA